GCCACAAGCATCCCCGCGGGTCCCCACCCCAGATGTAAATCGGATCGCAGCCCCTCGCCCCGGCGCCACCCACGGACTCAGCCCGCGTCTCCTCTAGTCAAGCCCAGGGCTGCAAGATGTGGCAGCCGGCCACGGAGCGCCTGCAGGTAAGGGCCCAGGGGCCAGCCTGGAGGAGGTGACCGGACCATTGCAGCTCATGGAGAGCTGCTGCCCCACCTGAGGGGCTTTGCCTGAAGGAAGGCAGAGGGCGCAGCCTTGGGGAGGGACAGCCTGCTGCTGGCTCAGCCTGGCGCCCAGCACCCCGCTGGGGTGCGGGAACATGATATAGAGGAAGGCCAGGCTTCAGAGGTACAACTTTTGACTGGGGGGTGGGGGTAGCGGGGAGAGGGTGGGTGCTGTCTGTGAAAGCGTTGGTGTCTTTCGCAGCGAACTTTCTGACCTGCAGTGTTCGATGACATCCCTTTAGCCAGGGCGAGGCTTTCTGAAAGCCTGATAATTATCCTTATTTTGTCTCCGGCAAAAGACAGAACACATGATTTGTAGAAGCATCCATTTGCCAACAGACTTTAGAAATGTCCTGCTGAATTTGGCTTGGTCAATTTGCTACCTCCCCCTGAGGCCCCCCCCCCATCCCTATTCATGAGCTCTCTCTTTTAATTTCCCCTGAATTTCGCCACCCCCCCCAGACTTGTTTTGTGAAAAGCAAAAGTTACCTTTGGCCAGGAAGAGTTCTGCCTGGACTAGGTCATCCCTACGAAAGTTTTCCACATCCCAGAGGGCATTGCCTTGCTTTTGACTTGGATCCGAAGCTGAGGATGTGGGGAAAGGCGGGTCACTTAGAGAAAGAGGGGCAGTTCTGAGCAGAGCCCTCAGAGATGCCTGGGACCTGGCAGTGGTTGTAGGTTTTGATGCATAGTACCGTTTGCTTGGGGATGTAAGCTCTTTGCCAGTTCGAATTCACGGAATCCCATGCCGTCAAAGTTTGCATGGGCAGAGGGCTGCGTTGCTTTGTTGTACATTGTGAAGAAGCTCTTGGCGCTTGGATAGATCACCCTTTGCAACCTGCGCGCCTCTGAGGACCTGGCATCTTGGCTGGTCCTGATGGGTTTTCAATGAACATTCAAATCTCAGAGCAAGAGCTATTCCTCCACCGCTGTTGGGGAGGGCTGGCCTTTGTGGAGCCCCTCCAAAGAGCAACCTGCAGAGGGCTTTGCGTTTGGTGGGAAAGGTGCATCTCCCTGCCCTCAGGGTCTGGGGGCCTAGAATTTGTGGGAAGTGGGTTCTCCCCTCGCAGAGCTTGGGATGTCAAGCTGAACCCTGTGCTACCCCCACCCCCCACCCCCACCCCCTCGGGCCTCAAGAGAATATAAAAGGAAAGTTGTTGGCCTCATACCTTGTC